AAAGCAACCATCCAGTCATTTAAAAGATGCATGGCTGGTAAGGAAAAGAGGTGATGAACATGTAATAATATACTCCCTGGACATGTTAGTTCAGGTTAAAAATTCTCAAGCTCCTTTAAAATTTGAATTTGCTTAGTTATGTTGAGTCATTGATTCAGAAACGGCCCGAGGGTACGGACATTAATTAGAACCAATTGTAACAGATCCAAATCTAACACAGTTCTTCACTTTAAAAGGCAGGGAGAGAAGGGACTGGGAACGGTGTCATGTTTCTAGAAAGATCAAAAAGGAAAGGCAATGATACAGGGAAACTGCATCAGAAGGTAAGAAGAGAATTGAAAAGAAAGAGAATGGTTGCTCTAAGAAGTAATATAGACCATCTCTGGCAATATATTGCTGTGACTAAGTACATGAACTTAAACATCAAAAAGACCTGGATTGGGATCCTGGCTCCCTTGAAGAAAGTTATTGGGTATCCGTGATCCTCAGGTTTCTCATCTGTAAAATGGGGAAAATAATACTCCTTACCTTTATGTGGCAATTGTAAAGGTTAAATAACCAAATCTACGTAAAATGTCTGGGACATTGTGTGTTCTCAGCTGGTGGTTCCTGTTATGATTATTCAGTGATTTAAGGAGGCTGTGTCCTTGAACTTAGTGAACAGTTGGTAATCCACTAGTGCATATTAATTCAGCAGAATGCTAAGCAACATTTGAAATATATTCATACAGTATGTGCCCACTCATGGATGGGGGCATTTTGAGAGTCTGTAGGGAAGTTTTTTGTTTCTTTGTTTTAATTGAAATATGGTTGATTTACAATGTTGTATTAGTTTCTGATACACAGCGTGGTGATTCAGTTATACATATAGATTCTTTTTCATTGTAAGTTGTTACAAGTTAGTGAATATAGTTCCCTGTGCTGTACAGTAGGATCTTGTTGTTTATCTACTCTGTGTGTACTGTTTGTATCTGTTAATTAGGGGAGGTTTTTGGGTATCATAATCACACTAGTAGGAGTGGGAAGTGATACTTGGGTTTAGTGGGCAGGGGCTGGGGATGCTAGATGACCTAGAATTCTCAGGAAAGTTCTGCACATAGAAGGATGAATGCTCATGCATTCTACTTGGTTTTCAGATGTCTCTCTAGACATTTACATGTGTAAAAAACTCATGTATATGATCTGAACCTAGACATCAACTCCATTTTACTCAAAGCATAAATGTTTTTTTCCCATGGTTTTAATATAAATTTTCTAGGAAAGCAGCTGTTATGTAAATATAGGAAAGGATGTACTATGTTTTGTTTGGAATTTTACCAAGAGTAGTTCACCATCTTGGTAGAACCATGTGATTCATGCTGATGTCATTCCTATGACAAATCAACACATTTGTATATCAGTCTGTTTTCGTAGCCATGACATTCGCGTTAAAGCTACAGGAGAAAGACAAGTATTGTAATTATTTCACTTCTATGTGAAATATAAAAAACAAACAAAACCAAAATAAGTGAACAAACCAAACCAAACACAAACACATCAATACAGAAGATAGAGTAGTGGTTACCAGAGGGGAAGTTGGGGGAGGGAGGGGTAGGCGAAATGAGTTTTAAAAAGAATCAACTGTGTGATGACAGATGGAAACTAAATTTTTGGTGGTGAGTACGCTGTGGTGTATACAGAAGTAGAAACATAATGTTGTGCACATGAAACTTATATAGTGTTATAAACCAATGTTCCCTAAGTAAAAGAGAAGACTACTCAAAGGTCCAACCATCTAACTTCTTCATTCTGCCTTCTAATGAAGTCGTGCCTGAGCATTTCATATATTATTTCATTATAAATTGCTTTGCTTTTAATTTTCCTACATATTATAGCTAAAGTATTGTATTTTTTAATAAATTGCTTATGTATATACAATATATTATCTGTGCATCTCAACTCAGGATAATAAAGCAAGTATTACAAAATATTTGCTATGAAAGGAGAGTGTTGGGTCTGATGGGGCTGACAGCCATGCTCTAGAATTGTATTTAATGTCATGAAAATACATTAACAATATAAGGTCAAGCGAAAAAAAAAGTAAATTCAAAGCACTGCCTATGGATTGGTTCCATTTTTATAAAGAATCAAACAAAAAACTAAAATTTATAAGAATTTGCACTCCTCTCCCAATAATACCTTATGGGATCACAGTAACCCAATTGAAGAGGCCTCCTCTTATGCGCTATATAGTTTTGTAGCATTTTGGTCAAATAATTTGCTGTATTTCAATTAGAGAATTATAGAAGTGTATTGATTTCCCAGGAATCAGATAGAAAATGAAATATTGATTCTAAATTTAACCCAAGTCATTTAACTTTCATAAGTCTATTTTTTTAGGTGAAAACCCTTAAGATATATGATCAATAACATAAGATTTCCACCTTTCTGGTTCTATGATTCTAAAGCAAAACTTTGCTGATTATATAGGTGAAGGTAGTGTTTCCCCAACTATTCTCTACTTGGGGGCATTTATGGGTGTTAAGTAAATAGAATTCTGTGGTTAATATGTCTGAGAAAACACTGGCTTAAATGGAGTAAAACATGTTTCTGAAGGTAAGAGTTTTCAATTTTCTTGTTAAGCTTAAGAATATTGTGAATTTTCAAGAGAAGTGCAGGATGCAGCATTTCCTGTACATGTTTGACCACAGAATCTCCCCTCTCCCTATACCCTGAGAATCTCATGGAAGTGGTGTTCAGCATGGAGGGTGTTGGGACACACTAAGATGGTGTATATTTTAGTATATTTTAGAAAAGTTTTTATTTTCCAAAGACTGAATCTCTGTGGTTAGTTTTCAGGCATTATAACAAGCATTAGAGAAAATAGTTTTTGTGTAATGATTCTCTTAAATGATGTTATATGTTGGAATCAGAACTTTTAAGTTCAGGTTGCTAGAAGGAAGGAACTGAAAAGGTTAACAAAAGAACACAAATTGTAATGTGTAATGAGCATGAGTCATTTTAGAGCTAAAGGGTGAAATAGAGGCTCTCTTCACATCAAAAGATTGATCTGTTTCAAAAAAAAAATCCGTCCAAAAACACCAGGTTTGGTTAGCCTACTCAATTAAAATAAGTCTAAAAGTTATTTATACAAAGACTGCACAGTGTAGATGTAGAAGAAACGTAATATTACACGTGGAAAATAAACAGGAAGAAATTAGATGATTTGAAATGTTAGAAATAGTGTGCTTTCTTGGTTATTTTTGAGGATTAGGCCACCAATATAAACAAGCTAAATTAAAAACTGGAATATAATTCTAGAAAGAACACAAATAACAAGATTATCCCTGTTCCAGAAAAGAGCATAATTCCTTTAACTAGTGATTATTTTAAAGGTCAGCTGGTGGAAGTTCACTGAATTTGTTTTGTGTAGGTGTATCAGCAGTCGGTATTAGTTAAAAAAAAAAAAACCCTAAGGGTTGACATTTAAAGAGTTATTTTAGATTATATAAATTTCAAATTTCAAAATGTAAATTATTTAATGAGTGGAATATCTGTTGAAAATTTTTAACATCTAGTTTATTTGCCCTGCCATACATGTGTTTCTGGGCCACAGTTTCCTGCACATGATGGTTTATGAAAACAAATCTTTTTTTTCCTTTTATTATGACTGTATTATTCTTTTTGATCAGTTTGTTTTGGCTTCATTTGCAAGGATTGTCAGCTATCTCTAAATTGCCTCTTTGTCTTCTCTCCTGTGTGTCTATTATGTCTTTGATTAATCTGCCTTTTTAACTTACTTTTTAAATGCAAACTAATCTTAATAACATCATGAAAGTAAGTCTACCATCAAAATAAAAAAACAAAACAGTCAGATAATGGATTCTAAAACCAATTTAAGGCTTAACTAACATATAAGGTCCGTAAGGGCAAAATCAATAGGGAAATCTGTATTTTGCCAAATAGTTGTTAAGTATCTACAGGCAACAAGTCATTGAGCTAGACTTCTGGGGGAGAAAGCTGTTATCACTCTAATCCAGGGTCCAAATTTATCATCAATTTTTGTGAGTCAACCAGATAGTATGTGTCTTCCTATGGGAGGCAACATGACACACACAATGTACCTGTGATGTAGTCTAGCTAAAAATACTTAATTTCAATCCATTGAAGTTTTGGATGTAACATCCAGGTTACAGAAAGCACAGGGGATAGTGGAACAAAACAAATGATAACACAAGGAAGCATGAGGCAAACCGGAAAGTGTGACATTCTCCAGAACAATTGTCTTGGTTCCTTCAGCAAGTCAGGGGCAGAAGAACAGGACAGAGCTAGATGAAGAGAGACTTAGCCATATTAACTGGATGCAAAGGGCCGCTGGGTCTAAAGTGCAACTCCCCACTTTCTTTTTCACATCAGATGGAGTAAACTGTGTCTCTAGCTCCAAAGTGTTAGTTGGACATCTGGGCAGAGCCTCCTCAGTGCCTCCCTCTGGGAGGACATGGCCTGCCATCTCTCTCTGTTCCACCTGTCGCTGCCTGTCCACCATTCTCCTTCTTGCTGATCCAGCTTCTCACGTACCATAGGCTAAGTCAGCCAACCAGCCATTTTCATTTCTGTGGGAAAGAATCCCTGAAGTTGGCCGCAGCTCAATAGTGTAGTTAGTTCATCAGTCTCTTTAGCACAGTATGGGACATATTTTTAGAGGCTATGTGATAAATGTCCTTTATTGACAGGGAAAAATTCCAGAAAAATGTACTTGGTTTTTGAAAGAAATATAAAAAAGCTTCAAATAGCATATTTAGAGAACATGAAATATCAATTCCCCCCAGTACTTTCAGAAAATTATGGTACTATGCATGTTTTCAGAGTAACGTGCCAGATAGTGAAATCTTGATGAAATGTACACTGTCTTTCTACCTCTTTGTTTTTTGAGGCATTTCTACTTCTCTATTGAATGTGCCGATATTTTAACTTAAAAGTATGCAATAAGAATAAAAGCAAAAAGAAATCCAAAGGTTGAACATCTCTATTCTTTTGGAAATTTGGAATTTCATGGAAATTTCTCATCTGAAAATCATCCCTGTAGCAACTGACTATAACTTTATTAACAGATTCACATTTCAGTGTGAGGCCTGGGTTGATGTCATATAGTCTTTCTTTGATTTCAATCCCTAGCTCTTGCTTGCTGCACAGAACTGCAGGTTGCCCTGAAAAACAAGAACAAGGAAAACAAAAAAGCATTTCCTTTCTCAATCCTTTTAGCAAGAGAACACGGTGACATCAGTATTTTGGTAAAGCAGTTATGTGAGTCAACCCAAGCATGAGCATGTAATCTTCTTCCATCCACCAAGAGTTGGTCAGGTAAAAATATTAATTTAATTTATCAGACAATTGTAAGTCCAGCGCTATTAAAGGAAGGAAAGAAGAAAAAAGTAAGGTAGGGGGGTAGGTTGGTTCTAGGGAACTGCTTAGGTTGTGCTGTCAGAAAACAAGGCATTTTGGCTGATAATAAAGAAGTTCATTTCAGGAAAAGAGCCAGAAGAGAAATATTTCTTTTAACCATTTACTTTCCTTATTATAATAGCATAATTAGAAGACATAACATATAGATTTTTTGTTATTTTTATTTCTCATATTTTCACTTCGTTATCTTCATCTTGAAGTTGTTTAGGGTATATAATGTCTTGTTTTTATTCCTCAGTTTTTGACAGACATGGAAGCTGCAAAATGAAAAGCTGGGCAAATTGCCAAAGGTAGCAAAACTATTAAGGACAGAATAGGAAATAGTGGGTGGGTATAGCTCAGTGGTAGAATGCATGCTTAGCATGCACAAGGTCCTGGATTCCATCCCCAGTACCTCCATTAAAAAAAGAAAAAGAAAAAGAATTGAAAGTAGAACACATCACTCCTGCCTCCCAATCCAGTGCAAAAAAGATATGTATATTTCCACAATTTTTCAGGCTATGGTCACCTGGAGATTATTTGTGAAGAGATTTCTTGAATTGAACACATGCTTTAAGCATTTTCTACTTGTGGTTGTATCTTTTAATTATGCCAGTGTGTTTTGTTATTGTGACTTTTTTTTTACTCTAGATAGAATCTGATGGAAGAGAGCACAGTAGCAGCTCCCTGAAAATATCTTTGAAAAATTCACAATACTAATATGTCAGCACAAGCTTGTATACTATATTTATTAACTTAGTTAAGAAACATTGTCTACTACTTTCAAGCTTAACATTTACTATTTTGTTTTCATGCCAACCCTGCAAACATGTATTATATTTATGTTTCAGATGAAATTGAGCAACTTGCCTGGGATCATATATAGTAAGTGGCAGAGCCAGAATTTGTACCCAGATTGGTCTTACTCCAAAAGCCATAGGATCTCTATGATATCAAGTTTACATGTCAGAGTCCCTTCTCGCAAAGTGCTGTGGGTGTTCAGATAGAGAGTAAGATATATCTCGTTGGGGGAGAGGGATGGATGCAGAAGACTTAATGAAAGAAGCATTAGAGCTCAGTGCTTGAAAAATGTGATTGTTTGATCATGTAAAATGAAAGGTTGAGAAGTGTAAGCCAAGAACAATGTAAACAAAGGTATAGAGAGGGAAAGTCAGAGCATATTTAGGGAGCAAGTCTGGATGGATGAAACCTAGAGTGAGTGAAGGAGAAATGCGCTAAGTTTGGAAAGGTGTTTGAGGTTATAGAGGTCCTTTAACAAAAGGCAGTGAGGAGTCTTTACTGACTACCAGTGGCTTACAAATGTAGGTATGAATGTAAAACACACAGTCCTAAAATGTCAATGGTATGTGGGCTAGGAGAATGGCCCTCTTAAGAGGTTTTTTTAAAAACAACTTATAAGCAATAATGGAATCCTTCTACTTGACAACATCAAATTTAAATATAGTGTTTGGGATACCAAAAAACAAAAACAAGAAACAATTGCTACTGAGAGAGAGAAAGAGATGGGGCGGTTGGGGTGTGGGGGGAGACAAAGATATTCGTTTGTAAAAACATACCATGAAAGTTTTGTTGAAAGTATCTTGCTTTAATTTAAACATAAATCTGCTTTGTGAGTTAAAACTTTTAGTTATGAAACTCAGTGCAATGCTTTAACTCTATTTCTTTGGACTCATCAGGCATTCAGTGTTGAGGTGATGGATTGTATATATGCTGCACTTATACTGAGGATCCCCAGGAGTTTATTTCTGCTGTGTTTAACTGAAACAGTTTCCCAGTTTCCCTTTCAGCTAGTTGTGTCCTGTCATTAAGTTTTGGCTAATGAATTCTAAACAAATTTTTTTTTGGTGGGTCTTCTGGAATAGTGCTTAGGAGTGGGAATAATTTTTGCCCTAGCAGGAAAATGGATAGGATAGTTGAGATCCCAATGACCGTAATATCTGTGATAACCTCTTTGATGCCTTTGAACAGACTAGAAAGAAGCACTCATCCTTGCAGGTGAATTAGAAACAGTTCCTCTTCTGGGTAGATGCCGTACCTCACAGTATCTAGACATCACTGGCTTCTTGGTTGGGCACTTTTGCAGTAAACAAACTGCACAACCATGTGAGATGGCCCTGGCAGCCATATTGGTTTATGAGGCAGGAAAGAAATGCATGTTCTAAAGATAGCAAGGCCAAAGACAGAAGGAGACAGGTCCTGCTGACCATGGATGTGCCATATCAGTCCTGAACTGACAATTTCCAGAGCTGTTTTTTGTAAGATAAAAATACAATTTATTTCATCTGTGACTGTTATTTCTGATTTCTTTTATCAGCAGCTAATTGCTAGTAAATTAAGACACATGGTGTGATTTGAGAAGTGCTACCATTAATTAATGAATTAAACAAATGTTCCTTGAGCATCATGTATCAGACACTCTGTTATTTGCTAAGGATAAAGGCAGAGTTCACAGTCTAGGATGTGAACAACAGATGTGCACTTACATAGATAATTGCAGTATACTGTGATATGGTTGTTCAGTTTGCATATTGCATAAAAACATCTGGCCAAGAGGTGAGTGGGGGCTGTGCTTTGACAGACTGCATTCATCCAGAGGGGGAAGTTCTCTAGTTCATCTCCACAAATGAGATGCCTTTTAAAAAAAAGATTATAATTCCACTGACAATAATGCCTTATTGTCATTTAGTTTAGTGATTTTCAAATTTATTTTAGCAGCAGTTAGCCTTCTTTGAAACAACTTTCATGCAGAAACACAAGGTATTAATTCAGATGTTTTGGTTATAGAGGTCTAACTCAAATTAGTTTAGATGTCAAATCTACTAGTTAATTTAACCACACTTATTATAATATCGGTGGGCCCAGTGTGCTAAGTAAAGACATACTAGGGCTTTTAGAGAAGGCTTTATAAAGGAAGTGATGCCTGAGCTAAATCATGAAAGATGATTCCAAGAGGCGGACAAAATAGGAAAAGAGCATACTATGCTGGGGAAACAGCTTGTGTAAAGATCTGTAAGGGAGCATATCCTGTCTCAGAAATGGCAACAGTTTGTTAAACGCCAGAGGTGAACGTAAGAGAGACTAATGTTCAAGTGGCTGCAGGTCGTCATGGTAAGTGACAGGCATATGATTAAGGGACAGATATACTTGTGAAACTAGGTTTTAGTTTATACATTGTGGGAAGTCATTGAAAGATTTTAAAAAGCAGAGTAATATGAATAGAGTATGTTTCAGGAGGATGTTGGGATTGTACTTAGTAGGGGTACATTAATAGACAAAATGCAAAAAAGCTCAGGCAAGAGGTGACAGGGTAACTTAAGACATTAGTAGTTCATTGGGATGGAGTCAATAGAGTGATGAAAACATTAAGTAGGCCAAACTGATCATGGGGAGGATGGGAGAGAAAAGTTAAGGATGATTCCTAGGATTCTGAGTTGGGTGAACCTTCATATGATTACATGACCATCAGCATGGTGGTACCATTTTTAATGAGAGAGAGTCACACAAGGCCAGGAATAGATTTTGGAGGAAAGACAAATGAACTTGGTTTTAGACATACTGATCTTGAAATATGTGCAGACTGTCCAAGTGGAGATACCCAGGAAGAAATTGACAATATCTTCCCATTAAGCAGTGTCTGAAACTGCCATTGTTACAATTTATTCTTGTAGTTAAGGTTATATCTCTGAGTACTTGCCTCTTAAAAATACCACTGGGATGGCCAATAAGTGCATGAAAAGAAGCTCAACATCACTAATTGTTAGAGAAATGCAAATCAAAACTACAATGAGATATCACTTCACACCAGTCAGAATGGCCATCATTCAAAAGTCCACAAACAATAAACGCTGGAGAGGATGTGGAGGAAAAGGAATCCTCCTACACTGTTGGTGGGAATGTGAATTGGTGCAGCCACTATGGAGGACAGTATGGAGGCTCCTGAAAAAACTAAAAATAGACTTACCATATGATCCATCAATCCCACTCTTGGGCATATATCAAGAGGAAGATAAAATTTGAAAAGACACATGCATCCCATTGTTCACAGCAGCACTATTTACAATAGCTGAAACATAAAAACAACCTAAATGTCCAGTGACAGATGACTGGATAAAGAAGATGTGGTGTATATATATACAATGGAATACTACTCAGCCATAAAACAGAATAAAATAATTCCATTTGCAGCAACATGGATGGATCTGGAGATTGTCATTCTAAGTGAAGTCAGTCAGTAGGAGAAAGAAAAATACCATATAATATCACTTATATGTGGAATCTAAAAAAAAGACAAATGAACTTATTTACAAAACAGAAAAAGACTCACAGACATAGAAAGCAAACTTATGGTTACCAGGGAGAGAAAAGGATAGGAAGGGATAAATTGGGAGTTCAAGATTTGCACCTCTTAGAGAGTGATGGAAATGTTAGTTATGTTGATTGTGGTGGTGGTTTCATGGGTATA